ACCAAAACTGGCAAGACACCGAGCCCGTGGCTCACTGCTTCGACCTCTAGAATTCTGATCAAAAGGTCGCAGGTTCAAGCCACGGATATTGCATCACGTGGGGTTGGACATGACAGACTGGTAACGGCTGATGAGTCAGAACTGGTCTCTGACGATGGACTGACGTAAGAGTTCGAAAGCTCAGACTTATAAAACTACGACTCCGGTGATCGAAACTACTTCTTCTCAATCTGTGCACATACCTGGGATGCGAATCTTTGCCTCAATTCGTCAGAAATGGTTCTTTCAGTCTCCCCTGTCTTTCCCGGCAATGCTATCTACATATCTTCTGTTTCAACCCAAACCTTCACTTAACTTTCTACGGTCAACTTGTCATTATATTTTTTGAAGTTATGTGTAAATTCTTTAGAAAGACCTGCATTTAGTGTTCTTATAATTGGTCCCGGAGTAGACCTTCTTATTATTTACCTTCGTGTCGAACTTGTACTTCTGCGTATCTGATTGATTTCCTTTTAATAACATATGATTATCTGTGGACAAGTAGTTTTGAATTTTACATAAAAATCTGTGTGTCTTTTTCATCAGGTATGAGGTGAATATGAGCCCTAGTTACAGCAAGCAAAAGACAGTTCCACAGGTCACCTTCGTCTCGGCAATAAACGCGCTGAAACGATCAGTTTTCAGCCCTTAGCGCAAGGTCGGCTGCAAGTATTAAAAAATTAAACATTTAGACGAAGCCCACAGCGCAACTGAAGGGCTAAGTAATCTGCGTTACAACCAGTTATTATGCCTTCTGTTTTGTGTGTTCGGTTTAGGCGCCAGGAACGAAGCGACAGATAGTTTGGCGCGTGGCTGACGGTGACCCCAACAGTGACACTGAGAAGATCCGTCGCAAGGCCACAAAGGCTGGACCCTACCGTGACAACCATCAGTCCCCCATAATGCGGGCGGAGAATTTGAGGATCAAAAGTGGCTGGTTGAATCTCATGTTGGGTGTGAAGGGCGGGTCCTGGAAACCGATCCCCATCACTGGGCCATTCACGCCGCGTACGCTCAACATCACCACTTACCAGCTTGGACGGTAAGCATGCTGCCTGCCCTCTACTCTACCCCTGGAAAGACATCATGGTTTTTGGAAGATTTTGTTTTCATGCAGAAGCGACATCGACAAATACAGTGGAAACAGGAAGGGTTATGTAGATATTATTTTTTATCATCGTCATAATCAGCGTGTCATCTCCCACCCACGCTGACGAAAACTTGGGAGTTGATTTCAAGACGAATTGATAGGCGATCTGATGTCTTGTTGACTATTCTCGGGAATATTCAGAACCCAGTAGGGTCGACGTTAAGAAACCTAGTTTGATAGAAGAATCGTAGCCCATTGCTCCGTTTGTCGTGGCGTTCCAGTTCAATTCAATAATGCTTGTCTATTCTTGATCGCTCGCCTCTAATTGGCGGATTGCAAAAGCTTTGAACTGGAGCTTTATGACACTAAGACCCTTTATTTCGCACTGCGATCAGGTCCAGTGGGGAACGTTTCTATCTAGCAATTTAAAAGTTCACTGATCGTTATGAGTCCTCATGGCCCTTCTAAACATGTACCTTTCCCTAACTGGAAAATGAACATTTCAATACATAGTAGTTCGCATTTAGAAGGGTTGTTGAGGTCGTGGTCGGACCTTTGATAATGGGTTCGACTCTAGCCATAGCTGCTATCTAGAATCACGCAGATTTGCACAGGCAACATATTTTTCCATGGGCAATGCAAAATTTAGACTTAGTCGAACAGCCTGGACATCGAATGCCTAGATACTCTCCGAATTCTAACAAATACCATAGCTTTAATTAACATTTTGTCAGATAGAATATTTACAATTTTCCATCTAGAATGCTGAAGATTTTTCGCCAAGTTTAAGAATATAAATCAGTGTGGAGTTACGTTCGAGGCTAATACTCGCAGCACTGTACAACAATCTGGTGGGGAGCCGAAATCATTTATTTTCGCTGCTAAATAAGAAGTAGCTGACTTAGTGCTTCGCTCGCCACAGCTGCTCACTTTAAAGCAAGAGAAGGTTTTTACACATTTTCAGCTAACGGCGGTTTTGTTGACATCCAGTACGAATGAACTCAAATCTTGGCTGACATTCGCCTAGGCGGTGATTTTACGGTGTGCAATAAATCCCTATAAAGTATATCGGGTTGTAAATTTAGACCAGTTGACCTCTTTTAAAAACTAAAATCCTTATAATTCCTAGGATTTACCGACTATTCTAATCTTCTGCCCCAATACTAAGTCGGTATGACGTGAGTGAGGGATGTTCGCCTCGATCCCGATATGCCCTGAGTTTGGTTTGTGCGATTTGAGTACATCGAAACAACTTCGTACAGAGAACATTCACTACTGCTATTTCACCAGGCGAAATGACACGGTTTTTCACTAAATTTCATTAATTATTTACATACGCCCCAGAAACCGCCCTAAAAAGTCCGCTTCCGACAACCCAAATAGAACCCCCAGGAGGAGTTTCAGATTCACTTTGAAATTTAGAGTTATACGATAACTTACGTAGGCGATGGTAGACCACTGAACTTCGCAAAGTTTCGTCCTGTGGGTGCAGAAAGCTGAGGAAACTTGCATCTGAGCTTTCAGCAAGTACTATGTTTGTATTGGCTACACGCATACAAAAGATTTACCTTACATGCCTACTTGGGCAGCCGCCCAGACTGAAAAATAGGCTCTGCTTGAGGGTCAGAAATGCGGAAATGCCGATTATTTGTGCAGCTAACAAACACGACCGCCACTACTGGCTCCGTGTAAAATCCGGTCGGAATGGGGGAAGTTGACCGTTCAAACCCGTTCCGGCACACACTTTTTAAGTTGTTAAAAATCCTTTACCTTGGAATGTGTTTTAGCAAAAGTTCTCAAATTTGTAATTCTCGACTGTAGTTGCTCGAGCTTGCACGAAGCTCCGACTGATATGCAATGAGCGAATGATATCGTCAAGGCTTGAGCAGCAAATTCTTGCAGTAATAATTTAACAGGCGCAAACCAGACCTCTTGTGATGAACACGAAATCCCCAATAACATATGTCTAGATTGCTTTAGTAGACGCTGTACTGGAATTCGACACGCAATATTTGTTGCCGAACTGCTAAAGAGTCAATTAAAGGAGGGACTTCATGTAAAGATGTCTGCTTGACATTGTTTACACATCAAAAATTAATAGCTCGAGTCTCGGTAGGCTGCAGGAATATCCAGAGATTTTAAATGGTCGTTATT